CCCGCGCAAGCCCCGGCCATGGCGGCCGTGCGCGGGGCGCCCCTGCTCGGCTGTCTCCTGGTGCTCCTGGCGCTGTGCCCCGGGGGGCGCCCGCAGACGGTGCTGACCGACGACGAGATCGAGGAGTTCCTCGAGGGTTTCCTGTGGGAGTTGGAGCCTGAGACCCGGGAGGACGACCTGGAGGCGCCGCCGCCCCCCGAGCCCACCCTGCGCGCCCGCAAAGCCCAGACGGGGGGCAAGCCGGGGGCGCGCCCGGGGGTAGCCAAAGAGGGTAAGATCCCCAGGGGCGTGCCTGGGGGGTGGCCCGCCGTGCGATGGGGGACCTCGGGGCGCCCCACCTTTCAGGTGACAATGGCAGGCCCTGGCAAGGGTTTGGCTGCTGTCCAGTCTGCTCTGTGAGGCACAGGAGAGCCCAGATGTCTGGCAGGACCCTGCGCCACGCAGAGGTCGGTGCTGGCTGTGGCCCTCTGTGCACCGAGGCACATCCGCCGTTTGGGCCCTCCCGTCCCTCACCCCCCGCCCCCCAGAAGGACGAGCATTGAGCCACCTGGGGACTTGGCTGCCTCTCCCCAGGTCGGTCCTGTGAGCTGCCCTCCTGTCCTCACGGGGCCTGTGGGTGGCACACCGTGGCTGTGCCCACGCCAGCCCCAGAGTCCCAGCCTCAGCCCTTCCTTGGGAGGGCTCCCCAGCACCCTCCTGCCTGGCCTCCTGTTCCAAGAGCACAGAGGCAGGTGAGGGGGCTGCCGCCGGGAGCAGTCAGCAGCGCCCTTTCCGTGGCCGTGGATTCACTGTGGTGGTGCATTGCAGGGCGCAGGGCCCAGGACTTCTTACATAATGTTGTCAATAAACCTCAGCTGTTTATGGTGACTTTCTGGAGGGGGGCAAGGGTCCTGTTGATCTCTCTCTCCCAGGAGACTCCAAAGCACCATCCATCATTCCTGAGGTCAGCAGCCCCTCCCCTGTGTCCTCTTCTAGATCTTTCCTGGCTCCTTCCCCACCCCTTGGGAGGCGGATCCTAGGACCCAACATGGCCTCCCCCGCCAACCTCTACTCCCCATTCCAGGCTTACTGTCCTGGCCTCCTGGATGCCTCTGTGGCAGCCCTGTTTCTCCTGGCTGTGTGCATTCTGTAAATTTTTCTGTGTTTAGGCCTCCGGCCACCACCCCCATCACATTCTCCCTCGCACTTGCTCAGGGGCCTGGAGGACTCCCACAGACTGCCCCGTGCCCTGCTCCCGCTTCCTCCCCCAGACTCTGAGAGGGCTGAGCAGCTGCGGTGCCTGTCTGTCCCCCCACCCCCCATGTGGCCCCAGGACCCCCTCTTGGTTAGAGCTGCCAACCCACCCCAGACCCCTTACTTCCCGAGACGGACATGAGTGACCTTTTTCTTGCTCTGCAGGAGCTTCAGGGAGGCCCCAGGCCCAGGCCCTTGACTTTGGGTGGCAGTTGGTGGGGATGAGACCTCCTTCCCCTTTAGACTGGGCATTCTCCCCCGCCTGGATGGCTCAGTCACCTCTCTGCCCCTTCGGTGCCCTGCACAGTATAACGCTCCCTGATCAGCTGAGCGGACACGTGGGGAAGAGGATGATGAGGGGCCTCTGTTGAGTTTTGGCGGGTGGGAGGGTGAGGGCCTGCTCCCTGGGCCAAGCTGTGGTGTTGGTGGCAGAGAACTGCCAGCAGAAAGCCTGGGTTCCAAT